CCTCTGTGGGCATCCGACCAGCAGACCCACAGAGTGGAGCCCTGCAGGAACAGCAGTCGGGTGGGGATGAGGAGCAGAACGAGACGCGTCATGTCGAGGCCCGTCTGCTCTATCCAGTGTCCCGGTTTCTGATTGTTCAGTCCTTGGCTCACCTCTGTCGTTTCGAGATTCTCCTTCGAGTGCGGCGTGACCACATTGAGAAGCTGCCTATCCCCAAACGGTTGCAGGAGTATCTGCAGGAGCGCCAGTACTACACAGAGTTTATACAAAATTACCTGAACTCCGTGAATCCCACTGCAAAATGCCCTGCTTTGGGTGCCGCTGTCTGAACGAACGAAAAACACAGTACGCACAAGTTACCCTACCCCTTCTCGCGTTCTAGAGATCTATACGTCCGATCCTCCAGCTGCGCCCGTCTTGTTCTCCGTTTGCGCCACCAATGGACTCTGCCTCTCCTCTTGCCAGGCATTCAGCCCCTGTGTTTAAGTGTATGTCTGCGTGCGCGTGTATGGGTGTGTCTGTGGGATACGCATTTTCTTGACGTGTCTAACTGATGCATTTATTTGTTGCTTTCTTACAAAATCGCTTTCAAGCTCTCTACAGTGTTTTCTTTAAGTGATCCTACCAGCCGAATTATGGAGCGCTGGAAACCATTCCCCAGACCTGGTGACGAATGTTTTTACCAGACCTTAATAGAGCATCAGTTCTCCGTAGGGAACCAACTCTTGTCCATCTCACACCGCCTGCCTCGGCGCCTAATTAGCAAGCACCTTGTCGTTTTGTGTTTTTTGCGTCGAGTATAATTAACACTTCCACCCTCCACATTCATACTTCTCATATAGCGGCCCTACCCTCCCATCTATTTTCCTCCTGTTCACATGCCTTCCACGTTATACAAGCGTATAAATACGAAAGCTCGACTGATTGTGCTTCCGTTCGCGGGTCCATGCACTTCTCCACTATAAATTTCTCTGGAGTCCCCAACATCACAGACCAACACGACCAAAGCTTGCCACAATCGTAGCAGGGTATTCTATCCTCTGTTTACTTTGGCTTTCTACTCCCTGGTATGGAAAGCTGCCGAAAAACTAGCTTGCCTTGTTACTCGCCGTTCTTGTGGGCTTTGCGTAGTGGCTATTGTGTCGAGAATGCGAGATCACATATGGGTCCGTCGTGGACAATCGGCAAAATGCCTTGCCGAATATTTGTGATGCGTTTTGGTTCATCGCGATTCGAATTGCTCAGTGGCTACGAACTTCCTCTTTCACTGATTGATTCACTGTGCTTTCCTTTTATTC